TTCCAAGTATTCCTTCTAACTAAACTAAATACAACAGTACGCGCGCACTAAAAATCACTAGATATTATCTCTGTATCTGGCCTCATTGTCTGTAGGGGTAAACCCAAAAAAATGTGGCTAATTCATTCAAGTTAGTTCAAAGTCTTTGACTAAGAAGCCCTTAAAGTTAACCCTGCTTGGTGTGTTGAATTAGCATAATGGAAAATAAAAGCGCGAGGGAACTCAGAATTCTTCTAGAGTTAGAGGAGGGGCATAGACTAAGTCCTTCATATCAATAAATTTCCCCCCATTCCTATTTCTCTTTAAGAGGGTCTAACACAATATCCCTAAGAGCCCACTTGCGCTAAGCAAAGCCTATCAATAAATCTATTCCCGTCTTTTAGAATAGGCCGAAGAGAGATAATTTGTGTACCTTTCTTGTTGATTTCGGATGAGGTGCGAATTCGAATGATGGAAGTGCAGGAGGTGAAGGAGTTGAGGGAGCCGTGGGAAGACGCGTAGTTGCGCGCCGTTTCGAGCAGCCAATGAGGATGCGTCTGCACGTTTGTTAAATCCAGGAGGCATGTTGTGAGTTGATTTATGTGAAAAATTGGTGGAAATGTTTGATTTGAGAGATGGAAAAGGGGAGAAGAAAAGAGAAAAGTTTGGGAGAAAGATACAGGATAAGAGTGTACGGTTAGGGCGTGCGGACGATGGTGGAAAAGAAGAGTTTGAAAGCGTGCTTCAAGAGGGCCGCCCAATTAATAAGTTGGTCTGACGTTTGGCACGGCCGTGCTGATGGAAGGCAACGGCCTGGCGTTGCTCTCTCCTGACCTGCAAAACAACAAAACGTGGCGTACCTGGCTACGAAGCGTGCTACATTAGCACGGGGCTTGGGCGTGCTCTTCTCTTGCCTCTCGAGTTCTTTCGCGCATCGCGATGTGTGAAAGTTGCGCTTCGCGTATTTTGCTGGCAAACGTCTGCCTCTCAAAAGTGCTTCTCCGCCCGCGGGCATATGAATATCGCGCTTCGCGTCTTCTCGCCGTCTCTTCTGGTCCAATCGGCTTCTTATGACACTCCCGATCTGCTTGTCGCGCCCCGCGTATTATGAAAGGTGCGCTCGCGAGTTTTCTTGCAACTCTTACTGACTTTCTTTTCTAATTGTCCAGCGCTCGCGCTTGCTGTAATGTCTGCGCTCGCGACTTGGGCCGTTTTCCATTTACACAGCGGCGTTTGCCCCCACTTAGACGTCTAGGGCATTGCTGCGCTCGCGCTTGTGAATGTCGCGCTCGCGACTTGGGCGTTTTTCTTTGTTGAGACTTGCTTCGTAGCGCGACTTGGGCATGCCACTTAGCATGGCTAGGGCGTGCTTAGTTCTTGAGTTCCACTTTTTCCTACAAAAACTCTTAACTAAACAGAAGAACACTTATGGAGAAAATTTGGGATTTTGACAAATAAAATAGGGAATAAAAATAAATAAATGGACGAAAATTTAATAAAAATATATAGGTTGTCTCCCATGAGCACTTTTGTTTAACGTCGTTAAGTTCGACGCACTTATCTGAATTTAGGCTAGGCAAGACCAATTGTAGTCTTGATGGGTTCAGGTTCAAAGGTTTCATTATAATAGCTTCTCAAACGTTGAGCATTTACCTTGAAACTTACCTTGAAACTTCGATTTGACTTACCATCCACTATTTCAACCGCTCCATGAGGAAAGATTTCCTTGATTGTGAATGGTCCAGACCATCTAGAGCGCAACTTACCAGGGAATAACCGGAGCCCAGAGTTATAGAGCAACACCTGCTGGCCTACCTTTAGATCCCTCATGATAATGCGCTTATCGTGCCATTATTTAGTACGATCTTTGTAAATTTTAGCACTTTCATAAGCATGGAGGCGCAATTCATCCATCATGTTTAGCTGTAACAAGCGTTTTTGTCCCTTTTTGTCCCACTTCCTTGGCATTAAAGTTGAGAAATTGAATGGCCCAAAATGCCTTGTGTTCTAACTCTACAGGAAGATGACAAGCCTTACCATACACCATGCGATATGGAGACATACCTATAGGTGTTTTGAATGCAGTTCTGTAGTCCCATAGAGCGTCGTCTAGCTTTTTGGACCAATCTTTTCGTGACCAATCCTTCCTTGATTGCCCAACAGTGGTTTCCAGGATCCTTTTGATTTCTCTGGTAGTGACCTCTACTTGTCCACTTGTTTGAGGATGATATGGAGTACCTACACGATGAGTGACACCATATTTTGTAGGAAGGGAGTCTAAATATCTATTGCAAAAGTGCTTACCTCCATCCATGATTATTGCCCTAGGAGTGAGTGCCATGCCTTGTAAAAATGTTTTTCTTGATGAAGTTCATTACACTTTTGGCATCATTATTTGGAAGAGCAACAGCCTCTACCCACTTTGACACATAATCCACCGCCACTAGAATGTATTGATTTGAACATGATGGTGGAAAAGGTCCCATGAAGTCCAAACCCCATACGTTGTAGATTTCAACTTCAAGGATGCTATTTAGGGGCATCTCATGTCTCTTCGAAATGTTACCTAACCTTTGACAATGATGACAAAGACGAACATAATTATAAGCATCTTTAAAGAGATTAGGCCAATACAAACCACTTTCTAGTATATGCGCATCTGTTTTGCTGGCTCCAAAGTGACCTCCACATTCCATTGAATGACAGAATTTAAGGACACTTTCTATTTCAATTTCCGGTATACATCTCCTGAAAAGCTGATCACTTAATCACTACAATACTGAACAAAAAATGGCTCCTCCCAATAGTTAAAATTTTGATATCATGAAAAAAATTTTTTTCCTTTGTTGGTAAGAAAAATTGGGAGGGACGGAAATTTTATTTTGCAAACAAGATAATTAACTATGTCAGCGTACCAGGGGGTTTGAGCATTTGCTACTAGAAGAAGTTGCTCATGGGGAAAACTTTCATTGATTTGCAGCTCGCTTGTATCTTCCTTCCCCAATTCAAGCCTGGAAAGATGGTCAGCAACGAGGTTCTCGGTCCCCTTTTTGTCGCGAATTTCTAGGTCAAACTCTTGCAATAGAAGTACCCAGCGAATGAGTCTTGGCTTTGCATCTTTCTTCTCCAGCAAGTATTTAATGGCGGAGTGATCTGTGTAGACTATTGTTTTAGCTCCAATTAGATACCATTAATATGCCTTGAATTTTGTCAAAAAGCAAAAACAATAGAAGCAAAAACAATAGCTAGCAGCTCCTTTTCCGTAGTTGCATAATTTAATTGTGCATCATTCAATGTGCGACTTGCATAATAGATAACATGCAACTTCCTGTCTTTTCTTTGTCCGAGAACAGCTCCTACAGCAGATCACTAGCATCACACATGAGTTCAAAGGGTGAAGTCCAATCTGGTGTGGTGATGATCGGGGCTGAGATTAACTCCTTCTTTAAAGCATCTAAACACTCTTTGTTAAAATTAAAAGGAACATCTTTAACTAATAAATTTCAAAGAGGTTTAGTGATTTTTGAGAAGTCTTTTATGAATCTTCTGTAAAACCCTGCATGCCCAAGAAAACTCCTTATTCCCTTCACTGTGTTAGGGGGAGGTAGTTTTTCAATCACCTCAATTTTTGCCTTGTCGACGTCAATCCCTTTTTGAGAGATTTTATGCCCTAGGACAATACCTTCATTAACCATGAAGTGACATTTTTCCCAATTTAAAACAAGGTTAGTATCTTCACATCGTTGCATTACTAAAGATAAATTATGAAGGCATGCATCGAAAGAAGATGAAGGCATGCATCGAAGGGAAGAACCAAATACAGAAAAAATCATCCATGAATATTTCCAATAAATTTTTCACCATATCAGAAAAGATGGACATCATGCAACCTTTGAAAGGTTTGCAGGGAGGGGCATTGCATAGCCCAAAAGGCATTCTCCTATAGGCAAAAGTGCCATAAGGACAAGTGAATGTAGTTTTCTCTTGGTCTTCAGGGGCTATAGCTATTTGGAAGTACCCTGAATAGCCATCTAAGAAACAATAAAAAGGATATCCTGTAAGCCTTTCAAGCATTTGATCAATAAAGGGAAGGGGAAAGTGATCTTTGCGTGTTGCTTTATTTAATTTTCTATAATCTATAGACACACACGCCAACTTGTGACTGTTATAGTGGGAATTAATTCATTGTTTTCATTAGAGATGAGATAACAGTCATACCTCCCTTCTTTGGAACAACTTGGACAGGGCTTACCCAATTACTGTCTGAAATCGGATAAATGATACCGGCATCTAGGAGTCTGATGATTTTAGCCTTGACTACCTCCTTCATGTTTGGATTCAGTCGCCTTTGGTGCTCGATTGAAGGTTTGTAGTCTTCTTCCATCAAGATCTTATGCATGCACACACTTGGGCTTATTCCTTGTAGATCCGAGATCGACCACCCTAATGCTTTCTTATGCCTACGTAGAACCTGCAACAACCTTTCCTCTTGATCAAGTGTTAAGTGAGAAGAAATAATAACAGGAAAAGAATGCTCCTCACCTAAAAGTGCATGTTTTAAATGAGGTGGAAGTTGTTTTAGTTCATGCTTAGGTGATTCCTTTTCTTTTTCATTCAGGACGCTTGATTCATTAATGTTATTTTCAACATGCAAAGTGGTTTCCACACATTCATCAATAACGTCAAATTCTAAAAACAGTTCCATGATCCATAGGGAGTTTACAAGATTTAAGTAACATCAAACACAATCTCTTCCTGTCCAAACTCTTAGAGTCCAACTTAAACCCTCATAAACATCAAATTAATGCTCTTGCAGTTGCAAGAAAGGGTTTCCAAGGATTAAGAGATCCTTCCCTGTCTCATCAATATCAAGAATGAAAATCAACAGGAAAGATGAATGTACCTACCTTACAAAGCACGTCTTCTACAAATCCCTCTTAGGATATTTAATTGACCGATCCTTACTAATGCAAAGACATCTTGTTGGGTTTGAGCTCTCCCATACCTAGCATCTTAAAAACTCATAGGACATAAAGATTAATGCTAGCACCCAATCTGCCAAAAGCCTTTTCAAAGTCAAAGATTACCAATGTTACAAGGGTAGAAACTTCCTGGAAAATTTTTAACTTTGGAGCAGTTTGTTTTGGAATAATTGCACTGCACTCCCTCGATAACATTACGTTCCCTTGATCATCAAATTTTTTCGTTTCTTGCTCAGGATATCTTTTTAAGAAATTTACATAACGAGGCCATTGAGCAAGAGCTGCTTCAGCAAAAGGAATATTGATTTGGAGCTTCTTAAACACATCCAGGAACTTGAGGAAGCTCTTGTCATCTTGTGCTTTCTTTAATCTTTGGGGAAAGGGAATAGGAGGAACATAGGGTTTTACCTTTTCTTGTTCTTCTACGTCAATGATAGGCACCTTTGGCTGTTCTTTTTCTTCCTTTTCTTTCCTTGGTGGTTCATCTAATTGTTTGCCGCTCCACAAGGTAATAGCCTACACTTGTTCTTTGGGATTCTTTTCAGTATTGCTAGGTAACGTACCTTGAGGTCGAGATGCCATCATGTTTGCAAATTGTCCCAATTGGATTTCTAAATTCCTTATTGCAGCCTGCTGGATTTTATGGTTCTCTCTAGTTTCATTCATGAATTCTGAATCTCCAAATTCCTGATTGCAGCTTGCTGGATTTTATGGTTCTCCCTGGTTTCATTCATGAATTCCATGTGTGATTTGGAGAGGGCAGTAATGAGGTCATCATGAGATTTCTTTTCTGGAGAGAGGAACCCTGGGGGTGCATTCAAGGCATTGTTAGGATTACCATAAGATAGATTAGGATGATTCCTTAACCTGTTATCATATGAATTTGAATAAGGGTCATTCTTTCTTCCTTGATTCATCACATAGTTCACTTGCTCCAAAGTTTGTGGATTTATAGAGTCCATGATGCATTCCCCAATTCCATGTTGACCATTGCACCTATCACAAATTTGTATAACAGCATTCACAGGGTTAGTAGTTAACATGTCCAGTTTCCTTACCATGTTATCTACCTTGGCATTAAGTGCTGTAATGGCGTCTATTTCATAGACTCCTGCAGCAGTTCTTCTTCTTTCGGTATTATTTTGTAGTGCTGTTGCCTTGCCCATCTCCTCTTCAACTCATATGCTTCCATCAATACCTTTCTTTTCAAAAAGATCCCACCTGCAGCTGCCATCTAAAGTGATTTTAATTATTAGGAGATAGAAGTTATAGAAAGTTTGGTACCCTGTAACCACTTGGTGCAAACCGTGAATGCGGACACTTTTCTTAGTCAAGTCCTTGAATCTTTCCCAAGCTGCATACACTCTCTTGATCATGATGAGCAAATGTCATATCTCATTGCGCAAACTTGGTGGTTTTTGAAGGATGGAAAGAATTTAGCTAGAAATTTTTGAGCTAATTATCCCAGTTGGTAAAACTTCCAGCGGGACATGATTGTAACCATGCTCTAGCTTATCCTAAGAGTGAATGGAAAATAGTCTTAATTTGATTGCATCTTCAAAGAAACACCATTTTGGTTTGAAATGTGTCCACAAATTTCCAAAAAATGGTAATGTGAGCAATTAGACTAGGATCTTCACTAGGCAACCCCCCATATTGGATCGAGGTAGATAGCATTTGGATAATTGTGGGTTTAATCTCAAAGTTATTAGCTTCTATCCTAGGTCTTGTAATACTTGAGGTTGTCCCATTCAGATTAGGTGTTGTATAATCCCTTAAGGTACGGACCGGATGTTGAAGTGGTGGCCTGACTATGTTTTCATTCTCGTTTTCGTTTTCGTTGGCCATGTCTGCTTGTTGATCGAGTTTTATTTCTCGTGCTTTTCTTGCAGCGTTGTGCCTTCGAAAGGTTCTTTCAATTTCCGGATCAAAGATTAGAGGTTCAGTTTTCCTTGATCTTCTTTGCATAAAACACCTGGAATACTTCTTAAGAGAAAATTAACAGCACTTAAAAGAAAATTAAATAAAAATGAAAGAGTGTCTAAATTAATAACAGGGTAATTCGTATTGATATTGATACGCCAATCCCTGGCAACAGCGCCAAAAACTTGACAGCGGTTTTCGCAAGTGTACGAAATCGCAACAAGTAATATAGAGTAAGAAAGTATCGTATCCATAGGGATTGTTTCTCAATTACCAAAATTATGTTAACCTATTATTATTTAGACGATGATGAAAGGAATTCGCTGTAAAGTAAATAAAATTCAAAGTAAAAGAGATTAAACACAAAATTTAGGTGAAAAGAAATCAGGGGATTAAGCTACTAGGGAATTTGATTTCATTTAATTCCATCCAGCCTATTCTATTAGTTCATTAATCAAGTTTAATTGTTCAAGTAGGAGAAAACAACCCTAAGGTTACTAACAAGCTCTCCCGATTTATTGTTAGCTATTATTCTAATCCAATTTAATACCTATATTAAATAGTGAAATTAAACATGAATCAGATCATTAGGTTTTATGGTTGTTTTTATTGAATCACAACTTAATACTTTATTTACTTTATGAAAAGCCCCCTTGAAGTCAAACCATATAGTTTTCACATCAAAGTTATTATTCTAAAAGTAAATTATTACCCTTATTCATATCAATAACCCTCTCCCGAATGAAATGTTATTGAAATAAATTTCAATCCAGGGAATTTTCTGCCTGGAAGCCTTAAGCACAATAAATAAGTTATAACAAGAACAAAGAAGAAATAAATCTAAGTATTATAAGGCTGGAATTCAATTAAATTACATCAAATCCCTAGTATAGAAAGTTTAGCTAGACATAGTAATTAAATTAAACTCAATCACACTTGCATCAATTCATCATATTAAGAACAATAATAAGAAAGAATGATTTTGTCCGTTCCACCAAATTTAAATTACTGATTTAAACTGTAGAAGTGTGAATTCAGGTCGAACCTTAGAGACTGAAATCTTAATTTTTTGTGTTTTAAAAAAAAAGGGGGGGGTTTGTTTGTGAAAATTCACTTAAAACAGTTCAATAAAAGAAAATTAATTTTATTAAACTAAGTAGTAATGCAAATTGAATGAAAAACCAAATTCAAGGTGAATTTCTAATCAATGCACAATTGATCACAGACAATCTTATCATTTAATTACTCTTTGAATACTTAACTGAAATTTATCAAAAACATGATAAATTCCCAAAACTTCCCCTATTTCGTTAACTTGAGCCCAGCAACCTCATTAACTCTAATTATTAAAACGATCGGGTAATTACAATCCCTCTCATTTAATAAAAGCATTAAGAATCAGGAAGTAGTTAAAATCTTGAACAACAATTTATAAAGCAATAAACCATTTAAATTCAACCCTATTGTCTCTATAGATTATCCTGAAAACACTGAAATATAATCAAATATAATCAATAATATCTAATTGCTACTAACATTCAAACTTTCATAACAATTACGGATTATGAAATCTGAAATAGCACTTAATCCTACCAAACAATTCACTAATAGGCCTTTTTAGCAGAGAATTCAATAGAATCAACTCAATAAGAACAAGAAACAACAGATATTCAAGAAGAAACTACTCAATTAAAACCCAAGTCTCACAAAAGTGCAAGGATGATAAATCCCTTGAATTGGTGTAAAAAAATTAGCTACTCATAATCATGGCTTCCAATCACCAAAACAAAGACTAAAGAACAAAAACCTAGATTAATAGATGAACTAAGAGAAGAAAAACGTGCCCCTCCTAGCTGCTGTAACACTCCAAAAGGGAAAAAAGAATCCCTAATCAATTGGAAAATTTCAAAAGCAGTAATAGAAAATTACTTGTTGTTCTGATTTCTTCTCCCCTGTTTTTCATCAAATCTTCCTCTTCGAATCTGAATTCTGACTTCTTCAAAAAATTGCAAGATCTCCTTCTCACTTTCTAACTGGGAACTAAAGCTCGCCCAAAATGCATACTCACAGCCGCAGATACGACCTAAAAACCAGATCAGGTTGAAGCCCCTATTTCTGCTCAAAACGGGATCTTTTATGGCATTTTTGACAATCAAAACGACTTCACTTCAAGTAGTTTTCTTCACAACAACTGTAGGGATGTCTTCTAAGAATTCAATGGGCCTGGGCTGAGTTAGTTTGGACACTTGGAACTCTAGATATGAAGTCCACGACAGAATAGGTTGTGCTCAGTTATACAGCACATAGCTTCAAACTTCAGAGCTAAATTTGATCAATATTGAGCCTGAATTAGCTTCTGATTCCTCTTTGAAAATTGTAGAACTTTATTTCATCTTTCCAGCGCATCAAACAGAATCCAATTTGAAGGTCTACAACTCCAGTAAGCAGAGCTAAAAAAGAGAAATTGAAAAGTGAGTCTCGGTATTATGTGTGGGATGAACCATACTTATGGAAATTTTGTTTTGATCAAACTATTAGGAGGTGTGTTCCTGATAATGAGATTAAATCAATTCTTACTTTTTGTCATGCATTTTCATGAGGTCCTTTTGGACCTAAGAGAACAGGTAGGAAGATAGTAGATTGTGGTTTTTATTAGCTCCCCACACTTAATCCATGCTTGTCCTCAAGCATGACTTAAAACTCAACAACTCAACAAAACATAGCTTAAACATAAAGGGAAGAACTCTTCTCGACCCTAAACAATCCTTATGAGAACAATCGGAAAAATAAAGTCAATTACTAAGCAAAGTTAAATTGACTAAGTTTGAATGAAGTGCAAGCAAGACTAATAAGTCGAATTCAGACTCTCCTAAACATAAAATCCAAGGCTTGAATATATAAAATTAAGCACATACAACAAAAAGTTGATAACCGTTCCTCAAAAAATTATTTGGTAACTCACCAAAGTACAACAATTCATCGCGACCATACATGCAAAGACTAAATAAAAACAAAAGAAAGCTTTTTTTTTTTTTCAAGAAGCTTGAGCATTTATCGTGTGCTTGAGTTGTCATCAATGGTACCCGCTTACGGCTTGAGTTGTCATCAATGGTACCCGCTTACGGGTATATGAAGTCACGAGCTCAAGTGGCTACTAGCACTGCTCTTTACCCATTATTGGGCAGCGAAGCGATCCGACTGCTACAAGTCTTACACTTGTTGACTCATTTCGACTTTTCTCTTGACTTAAAAACACATACACATAAAAGGCTCATCTTTGTACCTAAGTATCGTACCAAGAATTCTAGAAGTAACGGTCAAAATTTAGCTCATACAATAAAAATTAAACTGAAGCCTCAAATTCTAGGTCTAAAAGAGTCACAAATTTAACAAATTATTCGAAAATGCACAAGAGTCAAAAACATTCAAAGTGACTTAGTTAGACTAATTGAAATTGCTTTTCAACCTAGGAAATTGCTTTTCAACCTAGTTCAAAGGACCGTTCAAACCCAAGAATAAAATTCTTTTCAACTTTAGTTTTTCGTAAAAATTAGAGTTTCAAGTCTTACCTAAAGGATACAATAAACCCTTGGAGTAATCCCAAAAATCAGCTCAAATCATTAATCAAACAAAAATTTTACTCAAAATTCATGGGATAAGTGCTTGACATCTAACTCAACCAATCATACTCAAATGGCAGCAGAAACAAATGAGCAAAATAAGTTGTATGGCATTAGCTATTT